GCAGTAGCTTTCCCTCCTCTCTACTTGTCATGACCAAATGTCTCCAATGTCAGATGTCCTTGGGAGGCAAAATTGTCACACATACTCCATCTGGAGAATCACTGTTATAGAACGTATTTGGTGTATTTTATTTTATTTTATTTTTTTCTTTATTGATTTTAGAGAGAGAGGAAGGAAGGAGAGAGAGAGAGAAACATCAATGAGATTGGTTGCCTCCTGCATGCCCTTCATTGGGGATTGAGCCCACAACCTGGGCATACACACTGGCCGGGCAATATTTGGTGCATTTTAAATTACTTTCATATTTCAATCTTTGACTCAATGAATTTTATTTTTGTTAAAGGAGTGAGACAGAGATCCAGCTTTATTTTCCACTAAAAGTAGTCAGTTGTCTCAATTCAATTAATCCCTGATCTGAAGAGCCAACTTTGTCAAAATCTAAATCTATCTATATATTCTAATGTCTATTGTTCTTTGTTTCCTCTTTATTTATTCTCAATATAAAATTTATACATTTTAATTTTTATTAACTTCAAAACACACTTTAATATTTGGAGGGGATTCCCCTGTCCTCCCCCACCCCAACTTTCTCTTTTAGCATTTCCCTTGCTATTGTAAGATTTGTAATATTTATGAACTGTGGCAATTTTTAAAAATCCTGTTAGCATTTTTATGGAAATTGCTTTAAACTTAAAGATTGATTTGGGGAAAATAAACATCTTTCTGTTTTTACTACTGCATCTTACTAGAAACGATGTTATATTTTTTATTTTACTTGTCTTTCTTCATGTCCCTCAGTAGAATTGTAAAGTTTTTCTCATAAAACTTGCACATATTTCTTGTTAATTTTATTCCTAGATATCATCATTTTATTGCTATTATAAATGGGTCCTCTACAGCTTTGGAAAGATAAATGGAAACATGTGAATGGATTAACTACATTCGTGGAAGTAGGAGAAAGGGAATAAGTTAAAATCTAGTATGGTATTCTGAAAGTCTTATTTTAGTGGGATTCAAGTTAATAGTCAAATAAACAAATACTGTAATTTAAAGTGTGATGTTATGGAAGAAATAAAGAAAGGATTGAGCTAGATCTGTGGTTCTTAACTAGAGATGATCCATCCCATATCCACCCCAACCCCACCCGGGGCCTATTTCCATCCCCTCTGGAGGACATCTGGCAATGTCTGGAGATGTTTTTTTGTTTGTCACATTTGGGGGATGGGTGTTACTGACAAGTATTGGTTAGTCGCCAGGGTTGCTGCTAAACATTCTACAATACACAACAAAGAATTATCTAGTCCCAAATGTTAATAGGACTCTGGTTGGGACTCTGAGGTGGATAGTAGCAGTGGGGATACCTACATTTAGGTCAGGATATTATAGACTCTTGGACCATCTCAGGCTGAGGGGACTTGAAAACAACAAATAATAATAAATCCCTTACATATGTGTGTAGTATACATATGTACATTTGGAGAGTGAAGAGAGGATTTAAGAGTGCTTTCATATTTTACTTTGTGTACTTGTTTCTTGCTTGAATTTTGGAGCACACCCTTGCTCTTTTCTTTTTCTTTGGAATTAGAAAATGAGAAAAGAAAAAACAAATGCACAAAAAGCCAGCAGGCTGGAAGAGAGCCTTTTGTAAAACTATTGGTAGATTTCAAAGAAGAGATTTTGGAACAACCCCCAGGTGTTCCGGAGGCTCTGGTGCCATCATCTGAGCTATACTGCCTTCCACATCTATTGGATCTTCCACCAAAGAGTGACAAAGAACACTTGACTTAAAGCCAGATAATGTATGCCCAATACTTGGTTTTACACCTTTTAGCTTTGTTATATTTGCATGTGTTATTTAAGTTATATTGACTTTAGGAAAAAATAATGACCTACTTTACTATACTATTAAATAAGGTCACTTAAGTGTTTCATAAACTGTAAAGCACACTACAGATATATGATGAGCCCCAAAGAGGGTAAAGGCTGTGCTCAACAAATTATCTTTTTACTCTGTCCCCTTGAGTCCAAATCTATAGCAAGGACAAATGAAGACTGGGCTTCAGAGGAAAAAAGACGGGAAGGGAAATGCAGGGTAGGAGAAAAGTGATTACAGACTAAAGTAGTAGGACGAGTTCCATTATTCGTGTAAATAAGAGTGGAGATAATCCTGATGGGGCGATAACATCATAAATGGTTGTAGCCCAGCCCCAGGCCCTTGAAAAGGCAATGGTCAGCTTTTTTATTTTTTAAGCAGACCCTTGACCTGAGATGTGAAGGAGTGATTATAGAATCCTTGTGCAGTGTTTGGAGTCCAGCAGTCTGCACATTTAAAAAATATGTATCTGTACCCCAGAGACTAAAAGCAAAAGAGATCCAAGACAGAGTGAGTCATCATTCCTCCACCTAGATAGAGCCCGATAGAATTCATGCTTAATCAATGGTTGTTGAATAGATGAATGAAATACATTCTCCGGTGGTTTCATGGACCTGGTATTAAAATAACTGGATGCATTGATATATTTTTTGTTTGTTTTATGTGCCTTTGAAGAGTTTGCAGGCTGTGAAAAGTAACTTAAACAACTCAGTTTCTTTTCTTGGCCTTTAGGCAGCTTGAGAAGATAAGCCACTAATTGGAACGATGTGTGCCTGGAGGGAAAAAATAAGGGTGAAAAACGTTTATCAGCAGTATCCGTGAGCATCAAGCATACTCTTTTTTTTTCTCACGCAATTTTCCAATTTAATTAACGTTCATATGAATGCAGCAAATAATATGTAGCAAATGCGAATCCATATAATTTTTAAAATTAAATTTATATTTAGCACTGGAAAGAATCTTAAGTCATTGGATCAGTTTTACAGAGAGGCCCTACCGGAGACACTAAGGAATCGACAGAGCCAGAACTAAAACTTGTTTTTCCACCCTGGGAAAAGCAAATACCGTAAAGAAAAAAATATCCTAAGCAATTACGGGTTTTCCAAGCCCAATCTTTCGGGTTGTTTTTCTTGCCTGTGTTATGCAGACTCCAGGCACTTTCTTCTCAGAATGAACCAGCAATTCAAAGCTCCAAACAAGTTTGGGAATGAGCCTTGGGGATGGGGGACCTCTACCTGGGGAGTCATCACAAAGAAAGGTGCCCGCGTTCCCCTTTCGAACATTTCGCAAGCTTTAATAACGGCTTTGATATTATGCGCCCCGGCAAAAGGTGAGCATTGGCGGGATCAAACCGGACCTCCAACAAAAGAATTTGAAGTTCGACTTTTTTCCTTTTCGAAATTTGAAAGACATGCTGTGCTCCCCTCCCCCTCTAAAGTTTGTTTTCTAGCTGTAAACTCGCTTCAACACTCGGTTGCTTTCTCAGTTGCCTGAGAAGCGCAGTAATTAGCCAACTTCACTTAGACGAAAAAGAAACTTCTGTTTACAGAATGAGAGCCACCGCGTGGCCAAGGATAACTACGCGGAAGAAGGAAACATTTTTGTCGCGAGCTGCGGAAAGCGACCAGGGGGAGGGTTAAGGCGACCAGGAGGCGTGTTTTGTTGAGTGGCTTCGAAAGCGGCCGAGGCAGCCGAGGCCACCACTTTCGAAGTTAGCAAACAAAGCGTCTCCCCAGTAACCGCCTGGTTCCAGACAAGGCTCCTGCCACTCAGACCGCCGAGTCACAGCGTGGGCTTGCCCCCGGCTCCTCCTCCCTGCGTCTCTCCTCCCTCCTCTCCTGTTCTCCAACGGACATAAGCCACCAATCCCAGCAACAAACAAACCTTCAAATGCTAGAACGGAGCGGCCCTCTAACCGGCGCCCCCCACCCTCTCCCAGCCCACATCTGTCCCGCACTCAGGCGCAGCAGCTGATTCATCTCCAGCCAGGTTCAGGGAAGGAACTGCGCTTCAGCAAGTTGCAGAGTAGCTTTCAGGCTGTTGGTTTACCCCCGGACCAAGTTTCACTGCTTTGTCGTTTTAGATGTGTGTTCTCTTAGGTGCTGATCAGCCGGCAAACCACAGAAGAAAAAAATCGTAAGGTCGCTGCCTTCTTAGAGTGACGCTTTTCTCCTTGTTTATTCATTTAAAGTCATGTAATTGGAAAAACCACCCAAGCTTTGTAAACTCTGGCCCTTAATTCAGTCTCCCAGCGGGGGTGTCTTTTTTGGGGAGGGTAGTGGGTGGGAGGCTGGCTTTAATTTAATCCTAAAACAGAGGCTCCAAAGTCTAGTTAGTCATCGTTTGGCTGCCTCAGTCTTCGGGTTTAACCTCATTTCCACGGAGCTACTCCTGCCGGCTTCTCCATTGAGGTTACAAAACAAAAACAGCACAGAGCCGAAACTGGAGGCCGACTCAGGTGTTGACGTCTCTACTAGGGTTATTTACGGTTTTTGTTTTTTGTTTTTTTTTTTTTCTTCTCTTTTAAGTGATCAGGAAAGTCTTACTGTAGCATGTGACAGTTCGTTTACTTCAAAGTAACAGGACACACACGCGAAAACTAAACCCAAAGGAGAGGGCGGGGAGCGGGTATGCGTTTCTTGGAATCAGCTAAACAGCATCTGGTCTTAAGGGTAATTTCATCAAGGAACTCCTGTTGGAGTCTTCCTCTCAATCTAAATAAACCAACAGGAACATGTGTTTACTCAATGACTAGTTTATTTGAAATACCGGATGAGAGAAGGGGTCCCCTCGCAGAGTTTAAGTCTTAAAACTAGACTCTTTACCGAAACAGATGAGCAGCCCCTGTGTGGTCAACCTCATTCCATAAAGGCGGTAGCTGCTCGGGTCCAAGAATGGGAGTGTCAGGCCGAGAGGCAGCGGGACCGGAGCGCGCCCTTCCCCAGGCACAGACGTTTAAAGAGCATGTGAGCATGACAAGTGTCCATCGCAACGTGTTGGATTTCGAAACTGCCTTGCAATCCAGTCCGGAACTCTCAGCTTTAGCCCGGGGAACAGTCATTCGCCTTGGGTGTCTGTGTCTCATCCTCCCCCCCCCCCCCCGCGCAATGTAGCTATTAGAGGAAGAGCCCAGGGAGGAGAACGGTGCGAAGCGCCGCACCCGCGTGTCAACGGCAGCCGTGCATTCTGGAGGAAGTTGGTTCTTGTCCCGAATACTTTTCCAACGGTGCCCCGCCCCTTGAATCAGAAGCGGCTGTCTCCTCCGGCTAGCGCCGGGCCGTGGAGTGTGGGGCAGCTGTCAAAAACGAAAGTGAGGGCCTTTTCTTCCCTTGGGTAAAGGAGGGGAAGGAGGGAGCGGCCTGATTTCCATCTGTTGCAATTTCCTAACCAAACGCACCCTCGTCCGCCCGGGGAAGAAAGGCCCAAAGGAGAAACCCGGGACACTCGGCTGGTGTGGCCGCGGCCAGACGAGGGATGCGGGAGGCGTGCGCGCAGCAGGGAGGAAGGCTCGGGTTTCTGGGCTCCGCTGCCCCCACGAGGGATGGGTAACAGAGGCCCCCGGGGCGAGGAGTGAGACGGCGCGGCCGCGGCCCTCGTGCAGTCCTCCCGGCTGGAAGGTGCGGGGGAGGGGCGGAGAAGCGGCGGGCGGGCGGGCGGGGGACTGGGCGGGCGGCTGGGGGCGGAGGCAGGACCTCCTGTACCTTCCCTCCTCGCTTCTTTCACTCTGACAGCGCTGAGGTGCGCCGAGCAGGAGCGGGGAACAAAGGAGCGGCGTGGATAGGGGAGAGAGTTGGGCGAGGGAGAGCCTCCGGCCGGCTGCCAGAAGATCCCAGCAGGAGGAAGCCCAAGTGTCACTTGAATTCCACTCAAGAAGCGGGCGCCTGGGATCCGAGCAACTTGCTTAGCAGTAACTGCTGGAGTTCGTCCTACAAGTTACCGGAGAGTCCTCGAGGAAGGAGGACAACCGCTTGCCCCTTTCCCTCCCGCTCCTGCCCCCCCGCCCCCAAGACCCCAGCAGTGCCTCGCGCTGGAAGGGAAGCTCCAGAATGAAAAGCAAGAAAGGTAAGGAAGGCTCTGCGGGCTGTCGCCCAGGGGGCGCGAGTCCCGGGGAAACGTGCTCGCCGTACCGCGCCGGGCTTGGGGCGAAAGTGACTTGGTGGACTTTCCTAGCCCCAGGGCTCTCCCGCTGGAATCGCAGCCGTTCTCTTTGTTGAGGCAGCGTCTGAAACAGTAGTTGCCGTTTTCCTTCTAGACACAACACGAGGGGCTGTTGTGGGAAGATGGGCCGCTCCATGCTGCTGGCACGTTGTCAAGAAACACGCTCACCGCCTTGTTTGTGAGCCTCCAAGTTTCATTGTCTTAGTCGACACCCCACGCTCCGCCGAGTCGCCGCGTGGCTTCTCGCTCTTTCCTGCGGGCGGGGTGTGTGGGACCGGCACGAGGGGTACCCCCGCCTCTTTTCCCGTCGCGACCGGGGGCAGCTGGGAGTGTGCCTTTGTCTGAAAGTTGGGCTCGGATTCCGGGGCTCCTACTACCCCCCCCCGAGTTTGGCCCGGGCACTCTTTTCTCTGGGGCTGGGGTGTTTTCACAATAGAAGGAACTCGACTCTGGCCCCCAAATCTCCCCCGGGGATCGGAAACTTCGCAGAACTAGGCTTAAACATTCCTGGCCTCTCAAAGTTTTCCCACGAAGAATTTGGGGCAAGATGAAGAGTTAGGACTGAGGGCAAGCAGTTTAAAGCGGCATGCAGTCAGAATGAGTCCAAGTATGACAAACAGGCTTGGTTGTAAGTGCAAAGAGGGAGTCTGTCATTGTTTCCACGAAACGTTCTGGAAGCCTTACAACTAAAACTTGCCGACAGTCTGGGTTAAAAACAAAATAACACAGGAAAAGAAAAACTGCCACCATGAAAGGTCAAAGAATGTTAGCTCCTCTTGAAGTGAACTTTTGAGCCCCTGACGGGGAGGTACCCCGAATGTTCCATCTTGGGTCACAGTTGGCTTTTCTGTTGTGATTTATATGAAGTGGTTCAAAACAGAAGTTAATCACTCAGGGAAGCCAGCGCGGGGGAGGGGGCGTGCTGCTGCGCACGCGCAGGAGCGCCCCAGAGTTTTTGTAACTCCACATTCTTTCAGATTCGTCCCTCGAATACAGTTAACGTTAAAATGGAACAGCCTCAAATCCGAGATGGTTCCCCCGGTCCCGTTTTCACCCTGGGGTGCTGTTCTTTTGAGTCTGGGCTGGTGATTTTGAAACACGCCTCACCTCAGGTTTTTTCAGTGGGAGTAAAAGTAAACGTCAAAACCCGAGGCTTTCGTGGTGGTTGGTGGTAGGACTCCTTGCCGACCCCTCCCCATGGGACAGAGAGAACCAGAGGCTTGGAGGTTTGGCCACGGAGCTGGGCGCGGGGGGCTCGAAGGGTGGTCCCTGGAAGGCCGTGTTTACCCGCGAAGGACTGACAGGTCTCGATCCCGACTGGAGGGCGCTCGATCGCAGGCGCTGGGCTCAGCTGGAGTGTGAGTGTGCGCGTGGGGCTGTTTTTGAGGAATGGTCATTGTGAGCCGAAAGCAAAGCTGGGCTTCCGCCGGGGCGGGCTCCCACCGTTGCTGGGGCTCTGGAGAGGGAAGCGTAGATTAGCTTCGCGGGACCCGTCCCGTCCCCTTCTACCCCCACCCCCCGTCACCCATCAAAACGTTCTTGGGTGCTTTCTCCCCGCCTCCCACCAGGCCCTTCGCCTCCCCCCCACCCCGGCCTTCCAGGTGCCCCTCCTGGCGTCCCTCGCGGACCCCCAGCACTCAAGTGTACCTACCCGGCCCCTCCCCCGGCAGTGTTGGGGATTACCCCTCGGGTGCCCCTTCGGTCCGTGGCCTCTTGCCCCCCTCCGGGCCTCCCCAGTGTCCACTCCCCACCTCAGAGGAGCGAGGCTGGGAGCCGCCGGCCGCTGGTTGGGGATAACTCGGAGTCAGTGGCCCGGGGCGCGGCGGTCCTGCGGCTGAGCGCCGACTGGGAAACAATGAAAGGTGCGGTGGTGGAGGGGAAACTTTGCGACTGGTGCGAGCCGGTGCGGTGCGGGGAAGCGGACACCGCCAAGGGTTCTTTCCCTTTTCAGGTGTTCTTGGTAAATCCTATGGGGGCAGGCAGGCCCCCTTAATGTATAGATTCACGGCATCCTGTCTAGTTTCTTGTAATCTGAAACTCTCGCGGTCCAGGTTGTGCTAACTCGTACAGTTGGAGGGGTCGATCTCAGTGGAGCCGGAGGAACTCAGCAGAACAAAAGCTGGCTGGCCGTCTTCCCCCCGGCTCCTCCCTCTCTTCGCGGCCTCCTCGATCCTCCCCCCACTCATAACTCCACCCCCACCCCGGCCGACTACCTAGGTGGGGGCCGGCCTTCGGAGTCGCTCGGCAAGGACTCTGGAAGAAATCTGTCCCGCCTGGTTTGGTCTATTGTCTGTCTGTTTTATAAAAGTCCCTGAACATCTTTTCAAGTTTTCTTGAAAACAAAATCAACTTAAACTCAATCTCAGAGCCCGGGATTTGGGAAGACTGCTTTGTGATAATAGTGTCTCGTCTTAGAAAGCTGAGGATGCCAAAAAGATCTTCCTAAATGGCTTTAAGCCCAGCAGAAAGAAGATTCGTTGAGAAAAAAAAATCTCCCTAGCCTCTTTGCTCATTGTTTCTGACAGTGTGGAATTCTTGCTTTAAAATTGTCCTGTGGCTGTGACCAGCCAAGCACACCTCGGGTTTGGATTTTTGTCACTTTTGAGATGTTCTGATCAGGAAGTTTGTTAGGTTAGGTTTACTTTTAATCGTAAACTTTTCCTTTGATTATTCTTGTTTCCAGATTCTTTTCTAGTCTCTTCTAGATTTACAACCACTATCTCTCTGGCTCTCTCCCGCACACCCAGTTCCTGTTCAGAAAAGAAGAGCTTGCTTTATAGAGCTGTGGGAGTCATAGGCCATCTTTTGGCTTTCTAAACATTTTCTTGTATGTGGATGGAGATCCCCATAACCCCACCCCCCAACCACATTTTTTTAAAAAGTGCAAGCAGAGAGCAGGACGTTTGGAAACAAGTCGTAACCGGGAAACTTTTCAAAGGCTCTGTTACAATAGGAAATGAGTAACGTGGAAAAGTCTTTTTGTTTTTCCAAGTTGAGCCACAATCCGGAGGGAGAGTTTTAGTGAAAATAGTCCTGACAGCAGCAAACGTGGTTTGCTGCAGTGAAATATCAGCTGGTGTAGCCAAGAAACTGAAGTCTTAACTTCCTGTTACTTCAGCTTTTATGCACATATTGGAAATATTTGTTAAGAGGTCCAGAGGCCTGGCATTCATTTATTTAAATGAACTGAGAACAGAGTAAAGTCGCACTGCAGTTTGTTGTTGCTTAACTGAAACCTGCTTTTGTGTGTCACTAACCTTTTCTGAAAGATCAGGCTTCTTGTCAAACTTTAAGCAGATCAAAGTGCATGCTTCAGGGTTTTTTGTTTGTTTTAAACTCTGTTATTATCAACTTACAGCTGAGAATTCACTGTTTAATGAGAAATTTTCACACTTTTAAACAATTTATAATAGGGGAGATAGCTTTGAGAAGAATGTCTGGCTTTTCAGAGGCATTAAAACAGATTTGCTTTAGTTACTCGAGTATTTAAAAAAAGGTAGAGTTAAAAGGCTGATTTCTTTGCAAATGTAAAACATACTCATTTATACTTTATTAAGGGTTTTTTTTTTTAATAGCTTTTACCCACATTTCAATATAGGATTAAAATTTTCTCATCTCTTCAACAGTGAAAGCAGTTTCAGTTTTAAGTGTACCTCTTTTTTTTTTTTTAAACAGTTTAATGAGCCCTGGTCGGGTAGTACAGTTGGTTAGAGCGTCATTCCCACACCAAGGTTGCCGGGTTCCATCCCTGTGCACTCCATACCAGTGAGTGCATAAGTAAGTGGAACAACAAATCAATGTTTCTCCACCCCCCCTTCCTCTCTCTAAAATCAATAAATGAGTTAAAAACATAAAGCAGTTTAATGAAAGCTTCTGGGAAGAGAAATGGCAGATACATGGGAGTTAAAATTTAGGATTCTTGTGTGGTTTATTGAAGTCTTGAGCTAAAGTGAATTTCCAAGATCATCCTGCTCTTTTGTTAGAACTTGGTTTACTTTGTCTTCAGAAGGTCCTGCCTTTTCTGTGGACATTTCTCTAATGCCTTCTGCCCCCTACAGTCCAAAACTATGTGTCACCAAGTCAGACTCAATTACCTAGGGAGATATCTCATCAGCAAGTCTTTGAATGCATGGCTTTTTGAGTTTCATTGTGTTATTGAATGATTTGTCACCATGAGGAATATCCCATTTTTATTTCCTATCCAGGTAAACCACTCAATTAATTTGTGTCAACGCAGTTAAGAATGCATACCTTTACATTTTGTGTTATTTTAATTAATTTTTCTTTATGTAGAAATACTGATATGTTCAAGCATGCAATAGTTTATAATTCATTTATATTCTTAAAATATTACATTGTGTTCCAAAAACAGAATGTATTTCTTTATCACTAGAAGTTGCCCATGTCCTTTTGAAGGGGGTGGGGAGGGATGCTTTAATAGCATTTAAAGTTCTAATTTATGTTTAAATGTCTAAAAGGGCCAGGCCTGAATTTTTGTTGAACCCAGTCTGTGTGTGATTTAAATATCCTTTATGGTTTCTGAATTCTTAAATCTTGTGGGATTAAAGTATTTACAGACAAAAGAGCTGTTCCTTTGGGGTTGCATATTCAGTTTTCTTTGTCATGTAATAATTTAAGACAACTCTGCTTATTGATATGTAGTATTCTAGATTCAGATTAATCTGGCAGGTGAAGTTATGGAAATTAAACTTTCATTCAGTTTAGGCATCTTTGACCTCTTCTAAAGTACTAACAGAAAAATATTTTTGTGTAACAACACTGAAAATTTCATTGATTGTTTATATTTACTAAAAAGTGACTTGTACTGCCCATTAAAAGTAGGTGTCTAGTTTTCAATAAATGTAAGTAGCCATGAAAAAGAAATGACTCTGGAACTGGTAGAAACTTTTGACATGCACTTTATCTTTAGAATGCTACCTGAGTTAAGTGTGCAATTTTCCCTCTTTATATCAGTGAGAAAAATGTACGAATCTTCCCTTTTAGTCCAAATCTTCAGTGGAAGAAGGAGGAAGAATAGCATTTAAAATGTACAATAGGATACTCATTAGATTTATCCAAGATAGCAGTGACTTCAAAAAGAAGGTTGTTAGACACATTCCATCTGTTGTAGCACCTTTCCTGATACACAGGTGGCAAGCTGTTATTCACTTTGGGTGGAGCTTTGTCTCCTCTGTAGGATTACATGAAAGACTTCTGAGGATCATTCCAAAGGAATGTGAGAAGTTTAATCCTGTAGGAAAGTAGGTACTATAGGTACTCTAACAACTGGTTGAGACTCTAGAATATGCTTCTAATCAAATTACTTTTGAGACATTACATGTGCTGTGGTATTTCAGGACAGAAAATACTCACTGGTTCTTCCCCTGCCTCTCAGTAGTTGAGAAAACATGTTTACACTGAATGGTCAAAAGAGATGAGTTTTGCAGTAGGAGCTCTGCTGATGAAAGTGGTTGATATCCGGCCTTTGTCCTTTCCTAGGTGTTGCGGCCTCTGGCAGTGAGACTGAGGATGATGACAGCATGGACATCCCCCTGGACCTTTCCTCTTCTGCCGGCTCAGGCAAGAGAAGGAGAAGGGGCAACCTGCCCAAGGAATCTGTACAGATTCTCCGCGATTGGCTGTATGAGCACCGATACAATGCCTATCCCTCAGAGCAAGAAAAAGCATTACTGTCCCAACAAACACATCTATCTACACTACAGGTAGGGAAAAGGACACGAGCTATATGCACACAGGTTTCTTTTTCTTTTCTTTTTTCTTTTCCTAAAGTTATTTTATAGCATTCCTGTATGTCAAGTCATTAAGTGGCTCCCGCCTCAAAAAGGGGGGGGGGGGTATATCTTGTAAACTTTCTAGTGCTGATAGCTAATGACTGGCTATTTAGAGAAACAAACACTTGACAGTTGTCTGTCAAATAACGTTTCCTTTAATGCCTAAAAGAGCCTTCCTTTATACAACAAATATAAAAAGGAGGTTAAATCTTACTCTATTACCCAGGAAACTGGTTTGATATTTAGACAAGGACAGACCTCAGTGAGGTAATTCATGTCTGTTGACACAGTGATTTGAACTGGGAAAAATCAGTAACTGGGGGGAGTGGCCTTTCTCATACAGGAAAGATTTTCCTGTAGTTGATTAACTTAAATGCTGAGGCAGTAGGTACTCAGTTAATATGGGAAAGAGTCAAAAGGTAAACCTCCCTCTCTAAAATCATTTTTAGACATTTGACAATTTATACCTTTATCTTCCTCCTGAAAAGGTTTATGGATGATGAGACCAAAAAGGGAATTTGTATGAGAAAAGGAGCAGGTGTATGACAGAGGAGGCAGTTTTCTTTCTTGGCTGGGCTCGAATACATTGAAATAACTTTGTAAGTTCTAATAAACCTTCTTAAATGCAGAGAGATAATTATGCATCAATGGAAAGTTCGCAGAACATGTATGTTGAGTGGTAAAGCAGACACCCATATGATTTCAGGTCTGTAACTGGTTCATCAACGCTCGCCGCAGGCTCCTCCCTGACATGCTCAGAAAGGATGGCAAAGATCCAAATCAGTTCACAATTTCCCGCCGTGGGGCCAAGATTTCTGAAGCAAGTTCTGTGGAGTCAGCAATGGGCATCAAAAACTTCATGCCAACTCTAGAGGAGAGCCCATTTCATTCCTGTACAGCTGGACCAAACCCAGCCCTAGCAAGGCCACTGTCCCCTAAGCCGTCGTCTCTAGGATCAATTCTGGCTCGTCCATCAGTGATCTGTCATACCACTGTGACTGCATTGAAAGACGTGCCTTTCTCTCTGTGTCAGCCGGTTGGTGTGGGACAAAACACAGATATACAGCAGATAGCAGCCAGCAACTTTACAGATACCTCCCTCATGTACCCCGAGGACACATGTAAATCTGGACCAAGTACAAATACACAAAGTGGTCTTTTCAACACTCCTCCCCCTACTCCACCAGACCTCAACCAGGATTTTAGTGGATTTCAGCTTCTAGTGGATGTTGCACTCAAACGGGCTGCAGAGATGGAGCTTCAGGCAAAGCTTACAGCTTAACCCTTTTCAAGCAAAACAGTTCTCACAAATGTTATGGTTGCCGGGGTGATGGCAAGAGATAAATTGCATTATTTTATATATTTTTTTATTAATATTTGCACATGGGATTGTTCAAATGAAGCTTCCTGTTACTGAGATGTCTTCAATGGAATATAGTCATTCCAACAACTATAAACTCAAAGCTACTGTAGAAACAAATGTTGTTGTTTTTTTTTTATAATGTTTCTTGGTAGATTATTCATAATGTGAGATGGTTCCCAAGATCATGTGATTTTTTTTTTTTCCTCCCCTTCCCTGGTTTTGTTTTTGGTTGTTTTTTTTGTTTTTTTGTTGTTTTTTTTGGTGTTTTTTCAGACTGTGCAATACTTAGAGAACCTATAGCATCTTCTCATTCCCATGTGGAACAGGATGCCCACATACTGTCTAATAAATTTTCAGTTTTTTTTCAAACAAGTATGAATCTGGTTGATTGATGCCTTTTTTTCATGACATAATAAAGTATTTTCTTTAAAATTTATTGTAAACAGAGTGTTTTGTTGAGGGAGATGCTTCTTAAAAGTGATTAGGAATATATCACGCCAATGAGAGGAAGTTGGGGGTTGGGTGGAGTGTGAGTTAGGGGGGTGTCACCAGCTCTTTGAAGAACCATGGACAATAAGCCAGTATGTATAAACAGGATGTGTGATATTTACTCTTGATAGGAAGTATAAAGCTTTTCTTAAAACTGCATGGCAAATTGAAATGAATCATTCCATCAGAGTTTAGCTAACCACTAAATCCCTTGGTAATCTGCCCTGCATATTTTAAGACATGGTCAGTGTTGAAAAGAAAGGTCTCAAAGTACCTAATTATGGCTTACGGTTTCAGAAGTAAACAATAACCTAAACAGTCTCTCAGTATTACCCCTTTTTCATGTTATCCTTTAAACTTTACTCAGTGGTACAGTTAGATAAGGACTTTACATTCAAAGATCACATTAATTTGTATGGAAAACATCTTTTAAAACATTTTCTAAAGTGATTAAAATAGTGAGGTTCTATCTTCTGTGGGGCTGTTAATTAGGTTTGTTTTCTAAGGTCATGTATGTGAGAAAATAGTACCATATATAAGAGTTGATTGAGATAGACATTGCTAATGAAGCCAGGATGGTCAGAGGGAATTTGTGATGTTTCTTTCACTTATGGTTAAGCAGATTTGTCACATGCCACAAAACCATTCCTTGTAGCCATGCTTAGTACTAGGTGTTTTTGTTATATCAGTCATGTTCTTTTTAGCCCTGACCCAGCTATGAATTGTGTTAACTTTGAGGGAGCATCAGAGCTTCAGCATTATTTAAAGAATATAGAAAAATTCTTCCAAATTTAAATTTGTCTAATTTTGAAACTATTCAGAAAGTCTCTCCTGTAGAAAGAGCTAAACCCAAAGACTTTTTATAAATGAAAGAGAAAAATTTACAACCAGGAGGTTTTAAGAAAAATAGGTGAGGAAAAGGTGTGATGCTGTGGCCTGTTAGGGGCACAGCTTTTAAGGACATGTCAGCCTCAGGTGGGCTGATCCCATCTCAGGGTCACAGAAGTAGGTAAAACAAAAAAATGAAATAAAAAAGTATATAAAAGGAACAAAATAAATAAATAAATGTGAGATAAAGTTGATTAAGAATCATTACTTGCTCTAATAGCTAGATCAAAGACTGAAAGTCTTTGAGTAGATAAGAGAGACCAGCAAGTCATAAAAGGCTTCTCTAGTTAAGATGTTTTATGAATCACACCAGAGAGGGGAGAGAAGCAGCCACATGAGTGATTAAAGAAAATGTCAAGGGTCAGATGAAACCCAAAGATTTAAGAAAAAAATCACCCCAAATTGCCCATTACATTTTTCCCTTTTGAAGTTGATAAAGATACTGATTGATAATAATTTGTGTAATAAATGTAATAGAAAAGGTAAATATATTTTGAAAAATTTAAGCAAACTAGAAATTTTTATGCTTAATATTTTCATGGTATATCTTTTCTTTTGCTTATTTTTAACCCTATTTGTGTTTATAGTTTATCTATTTTAGAGTTGGGTCTTTTCTTTTAATCTAGACTAATCTGTCTTTTTTTACTTGGTGTGTTTAGTTGATTTACATTTAATGTAATCACTGATATGTTTGGATTTGTTTACCATTAGGGGTTTTATCTCCCTCTGTTAACTCTTCCTGCTTTTTCGGTTATATAAATATTTTTAGCAATTTGTTTTTATTTTTTTTCTATTGGTTTATAAACTATTCTCTCATTTAAAAACATTTTTTTTTTCTTTATTGATTTTAGAGAGAGAGGAAGTGAGAGGGAGAGAGAGATAGAAACATCGATGGGAGAGAACATCGATCGGCCACCTCCTGCATGCCCTCCACTGGGGTTCGGACCCACAACCTGGGCATTTGTCCTGACCAGGAATCTAACCGGTGACCTCTTGGTACATGGGTCAACGCTCAACCGCTGAGCCACACCTGCCGGACTATACTCTTATCTTTAAAAAAAATTATTTTTCAGTTACCCTTGACTTTTTTTTCTTTTTTTGTGGTACGTGCCCCTAGTGGGAACCGAACCCGGGACTCTCTGGTCAGCAGGCTGACACTCAACAGCTGAGCCAAACTGGCCAGGGCTCACTTGACATTTTTAATAGTTTCTTTGGGATTATAATATATATCTTTATTACAACCTATTTATGGTTATGTACAACTTTGTACATAACCTTGCAATAGTATATTTCCATTCATTCTCTCCTGTTTTCCTTTGCATTTCATATATATTATGGCTACATGATAAACCCAACAGGACATTGTTATAATTTTTGTTTAAACAGTATGTGTCTTACAAACGAATTAAGAGAAAAGCGAATGTGTGTATAGTCTTTAATGTTTTCTAAATATTTACCTATTTTTGAGGTTCTACATTTGTGTCAGTCTAAATGACATGTCATTTCTCTTCAGCCTAAAGGAATTTCTTGAGAATTGTGTGGGTATGTGGTCACAAATCGTCTGTTTTTGTTCATTGAAAATGATTTATTTTATTTTTATCTTTGAAGGATAGTTTCACTAAAGATAGAATTATGGGTTGATAATATTTTTGTTTCTGCTTTTTCATCATTGTAAAAGCATTATCTTCTGGTTTCCATTATTTTTTTAAATATGTTTTTATTGACTTTTTTTTTAATCCTCACCTGAGGCTATTTTTCCATTTATTCAGATAGAGTGGGAGAGGAGAGAGAGAGAAACATTGATGTGAAAGAGACGCATCAACTGGCTGCCTCCTGCACGACCCTGACCCAGGGGCAGGAGGAACTGCAACCATAAGTGCCCTTGGCTGGAATCAAACCCATGATTCACTGGTCCACGGCCTGGAGCTCTAACCGCCGAGCCAAACCTGCCAGGGCTGTTTTTATTGATTTTCAGATAGGAAGGGAAAGGAAAAGAGAAAGTTGATTGGCTGCCTCCTGCACGCTTCCTACAGGGTATGGAGCCTGAAACTCAGGCCTGTGCCCTGACTGAGAATCCAATGGGAATGGAACCAGGACTGGAACTGGAATTCAAACCGGGACCTCTTAGTCCATGGAACGAAGCTCAGTCCACTGAGCCACACCAGCCGGGCTAGACTTAGATTAATTGAGATTGTCCTACATGTCTCTGAAGCTCTGTTTTTCTTCAATCTTGGTTCTCGTTCCAGATTGGGTAATTTGCATTAATTTATTTATCTACACATTGGAATCACCTGGAAAGCTTAAAAAAAACCACAAAACCTGGTGTAGGTTTTGGGATTTTTTTTTTTAAGCTCCCTTTGTTATGCTAATGCTTAGACAAGTTTAGGAACCACTACCCTAAATAATTCTTTCTTTCTTTATTTTTTTATCCTCACCCGAGGACATTTTTCTATTTTTTGTATAGATAAAGTGGGAGGGAGAGAGAGGAAGGGAGAGAGAGAGACAGAAACATCGATGTGAAGGGACACATCAAGTGGCTGCCACCCGCACGACCAACCAGGGCCGGGGACAAACTGCAGCCGAAGTACATGCCCTTAGCGGGAACCGAACTCGGGTCTCTCCGGACCGCAGGCGGACGCTCTAACCGCTGAGCCAAACTGGCCAGGGCCTAAATAATTTTTAAATTAGCCATTGTTGTCCGGCGGTATGGTTCAGTGGTTGGGCATCAACCCATGCACCAAGAGGTCACTGGTTCGATTCCCGGTCAGGACAAATGCCCAGGTTGTGGGCCCTATCCCCAGTGGGGGACATGCAGGTGGTGGCCAGTCGATGTTCTCTCTCCTTGATGTCTATCTCTCCCTCTCACTTCCTCTGTCTCTCTAAAATATCAATAAAGGAAATAAATAAATAGGCTATTATTTCTCTCCATAAGTAGAACATTAGGAGTCTCTTTCTAGACCAAAACATTAAAAAAAAATTTTTTTATAAGTCTTTTGTTGGGGCATTAGATAATTACTGTGAAAGAAATGTAATTTGCTGTAGAATTATCACTCAAGTTAATTTATTCAGTTAGAGTTTATCAAATTTTAAAGTGGCACTGGGCTTCTACTATAGTCCATACAATATGTAAAGCCAAGCCACTAATAAGTACACCTAACATTGTAGGAAAGTAACACATGTGTTTGTATCAAACCAAAAAAATAAAGTTTATCTCTGGAAACTGTCCAGAGAGTGAGTTAAAAGCAACACTTAGAGATCTAGTTGTAAGTCTCCTTGGGCTTATTAAGAGGAGAATGTTATAATTCTGTTGCTTTAAATTTCTTCCCAATGATTTTTTGTTTTAAAATTTGATTTGCTTAAATGATTCTGTGGAAAGCTAATGTGTATGACACCAGTTAACATTTTCACCCCCAGTTTTTGTATATAGTAAATTTCCACAACATGGAACATCATTTATTTTAAATTATCTAATCAACAGTCCTTCCAATTGTAATGTTATATGTATTGAAAATCCACTATTGAAAAGAAAATGTTAGATTAATTTGGAAAGGACAAGATATAATATTTATCAAATATTTTATATTATTATCTTGATTGAACATTTTATGTGCATATCTCATTTAATCCTCACAACCCTGATGAGATGTTATTCCCATTGTGTATCTAAGGAAACACTCATTAAAGTTCAGCTGGTCTGAGGTTACCAGCTGCAGTAGAGCCCATATCCTTTGGGCGATTCTGCAACCTTAACCCTTCGACACACTGT